GAGCGCCAGGAGCCCTGGGGAAGGTGGAACAAAATGGCGAAACCTAACATGGCCGTTCGGGGTTGGCGGCTCCAAAATAAACAGCGTGTGTGTGTGTGTGCTTGCCTCCCGCAGACCGCGTGTGCCAGCAGCCGGGGCTCTCCCTCTGGGTCCCCTTCCAGAACGCCGCCACCGCCGTCACCAACCTCTACAAAGGTAAGGGCCGCCGCGGCCGCCCGCCCCGGCCTCCCGTGCCGCTTACTCATGAGCGGGGCCTGCTAATGTCTCTTATTCATGCCGATAAAATCTGGCCCGGCTCTGCTTCCTGGATCCGGCATTTTTTTTTCTTTCTCTCTCTCTCTCTTTTTTTTTTTTCCCCTGGTCTGCTTTAGCTGACGATAGTTGAATCTTTTCTGTTGCCTCATGTTGGTGACTAATAATTTACAAACTCTTTTACTTCCAAGTCTGTGTGAAGAAAAGGTTCTCTTTAGTATGTGGCCATCCTTAGTGTGTTCAGGGCAAGAGAAGAATAGATCATTAAATGCAAAAAGAGTAGAATATCTGTGTAAATGTTGCTTAGATTTCGGTGCTTGCATATTGCCTGCTACAAGGTCTGTTAAACATGGGAATAGCCTTGCGATGCATTCACACTTGTAGCGAACCATAAGTTGGGTTGGTAGCAAGGCCTCACCTACGCTGGGCCTTACAATGTGACAAAAATGAAATTGTAGATACTTGTGACAGTGTTGTTTCTTAAATAAGTTCCCAAGTTTATTTTAAGCACCAGACTGCCATTTTAAGTATGTTCAGGGTGGCTATAAGTAAGTCACGTTAACCAGCATTATGCTTTTGGGCGTTTTGGTTGTCAAGATCTGTTTCTGAATCCTCTTACTGTTAGGGTTAATGCAAGCATTCTTCTCGGTTGAAGAACTGACCATTGATTTCTAATTTGTTTAAAAGATTATACATAAATGATAAGTAAATCTTGGAATTGGTGTAGCATGATTACAGTTATGACTTTCACCACCAGAAGGGGGGAAAAAGTTGTTTATTTTTAAGAAAGTTAAATTTTTATCTTTCTGACTTAGTATTAATGATTATTGAGGTGTGGGGTGCATTCTTGTCTGTATAGCACTATGTATGGCTTGTTTTGCCTATTTTTTCCTCATTTGTTTCTAGTTTCACAATATGTGGATTTACTTTAAACAACAGAACTTTGTAATATGCCTGAGGGCTGATTAGGTGTCTGACAAATGTGAGGAGACCGAGGAGGAAACAGATGTGAAACCCTCAGAGCTAGGGATCTGCCTCTCTTGCAGAAAACCATCTGTGCATCATAAGTTACTGTACAGGGGCAGCGACTTACATCGCCGGGTTGACGTTGGCCTCAGGGAATGGGTCACTGGAACACAGACAGGGTCACTAGTCACTTGAGGAAGGATGGTGGTGTTAGAATAGCAGGAGGCAATGTTAACAAGTTGCCTGGAGTAATTATAGCCTGTTTTTACCAGTGGCAATATTGTCCTTTAGAGCATTATTACAAAGGGCTCTGGTTTATTTTTGTTTAGTTTTGTTTAGATTGCTTGATTACTTGTATTATGGGCAAAATGAGCCCTCTTCACGTAGTGGCCAAAAAAAAAAGTATACGCTTTGCCAGTGATTAGAGAAACTAGAACTTAAGTAGGAAGCTGTTCAGTTACAACTTAATACTCTTAAAAAGGAACGCTTCTAGAAATTCTACTTTAAGAAAGTTTGTTTGCATACTTGGAACTATGTTTTTTTGTTTAAGTTGACTCCCAAATGGGTAGACGATCCCCTTCGTAGGAACTTGTGGAGAGAATACAACTCTTAGTGAGAACTTGTCTTCCTCGTGATGACTGCTGCTGTCTGAAAGTCTTCTGTATATCTGTTCATGTTTTGGAGGAATTTGTCAAAACACCGGAGGAGTGCTAGGGGTGATGAACATCACCGTCTCTTGCCCCTGCAGCTGGTTTCTAATCTGAAACTTGGAATTTTTGATGTGTTTAATTTTTAGCAAGAGCAGCATAAGGAAAATGCCATAATTTCTTGAGTTTTAAGTGTTTACTCTAGAGAAAAAAAGATTAAGACACTTAAGCTTAACTTAATATCATGTCATTCTTTGAAATCTGTGTGGATTTGGGATCATGACTTTTTTTTGTTCAGTTCTATTGATTGAGAGTTGTTTAAAGATGCAATATCTGCATATTTGTTCTCCAGATTGTACTGAAGGTGGATCCTACTTTTAGGCTTTAAACTTAGTGATTACTACAGAAAGTCCTGGAGTATGTTTTTTGAGGCTAATCTTGACTTTTTTTTTTTTTTTTTAGATTAAAAAATGTTTGGTATGCTTTGCAATGTTGGTTTGTACTTAGGAGCCTCCTAATGAAGGAGATTTCGGTGGTTCTCTGTCTCTAGCTTAACTTCATAGACCAAAGCAGTTGTTAAACATTAAAAAAAAAAAAAAAACCCACGCACAATCTTTCCCAGGGTAATGAAGTCTTGAGTTTTTTCCAGGCTACATCAGTATTCAGTGTTTGACCTCCTAACTAGTTCATAGTTAGCCCTTTGTAAAGCATTCCAGTGTACAAGGAGAGCACATCGCTGACGTGCTAAAAACGGGCTCCAAGCTTCTCAGAGGGGACTTGCTTGTCCAAGGGTTTCGGGAAGTGACAAAAGAAATGCTGTCTACTTCCAAGCTAGTTCCAGAGTTTTAGTAGCTTTTATTAGTGAGAGTGCACCAGAGCTGTAGCTGTTGTGAAATATAAAATGGCTGAAGGAATAATCTGTTGTGCTGGCGTTGCTTTGACAGAAATTAGCAGTCATAAATCTTCAAGTTTTTTGATTACAGAGTAGCATAGGCAAAATGCTTTTAGTCTTAGGGTGCATAAAAGGAAGTAAGACGTTGCTGTATTCTGAGTGTGCCTAAGCAGTCTGTGCTTTAATAGCTCCAAGGTTAAACTACAGTCAAATCGAGGTATTTTTTGTTTTTTTGGTAGGTAGTCTGAAGCAATGTGGCTTGACAGTGTACACTTTAATTGCAGTGTTTTCTGCACCAAACAGTATACCTTTTGAAACTCTCAGAATAATCTTTAAAAACAGAACTAAGTAGTGGTGGTTTGCTTTGTGTGCATGTGAAAACTATCTTAGAAAACTAGCATTTTCTTACATAAAAACAATGTCTTCAACAGCTGTTCTATAAGCACTTAAGTCTTTTCTGGTCAAGTGGCTGTTATTTCGAATTTAGTAAAGCAACAACAATGCTTTTTTTTTTTAAAATCAAAACCAATAAAAAGCACTCTTAAGGTAAATTAAATTGGGGTTGATACTGTTCTGGTGTGCCCTAATGGGGAAAGAGCTAATGTGGCAGTCACTCACATAAACCCGAGATGTAGCTACTGGTAAAGATCTAATACCAAATATCTGTGACAAGCAAGGTGAGTGTAATTGAGTACAGAGTATGGTTTGGCCTACCTGTTACTGTTCTTTACATTTATTCACATATTCAACTACTTGTTGAAGAATTTTAACTTGCAGAAGTCTGGAAACCAATCATGTAAGAGTGTCTGTTGGAGGCAAAGCTATAACTGATTTGCACAGGTGACCAGTTACATCAATGAGGAATGAAATTGCGTTTCATAGTAGGATTAACTGCCAGTAATACCTGCTTAAATAAGTTTTTGTGCATCAGACTTGCAATGAGCAGTTTCCTTAGACTTCATTTTGTAATTGATCTGTTGCATGACTGAAAGATACTGCAGATGTTTCTGTTCTAACTAGGTTCAGAGCTCTGCCCTCGTGTAAACTGTCTGTGCAGTTTAAGTTAAATAGTTTTTCAGAATTTCTCACAGGCATCAAGAAAAACTGTTCTATTCCTTTTTTTGTGGTGTTCTCATTGAACTGATGTACTTTCAAGTGTATTGTCGATTAATTTCTCAAGTGGCTTCAGACTGACAAGCCCGAACTATCTGTTCTAAATGTTAATACTCTGTAGTTTCAAAAACTGCTGTGCTGTAGTGTAACTTGAAGTACAGTAAATAAATACTATTTAAGGGGTTTGAGGTTTTTGGTGTTCTAATTTGTGAAGAAGAGGGAGTCTAAGTTACTCTTCTCTTTAGACTTAAAAACCTCACAGTGTTGCTAAATTTTCTATGGCTAACTTGCTACTGTTACAACAACCTGTAGAACATCTTGTTTATTATGGTTGACAGGAAGCCATGTCAGTGATATGTGGTGTTTTATATCGCTCCATCTGTGTGACATTTGCTAAGAACATGTTTTTGTCTTCTTGCAGAAAGTGTGGATGTCCATCAACGAAGTTTTGATGTAGGAATTCAAATTGGCTATCAGCGTCGGAATAAGGATGTGTTAGCTTGGGTCAAAAAACGCAGAAGAACTATTCGCAGAGAAGACTTGATCAGCTTCCTATGTGGAAAAGTTCCTCCTCCAAGAAATTCTAGAGCTCCTCCAAGACTGACTGTAGTATCCCCTAACCGAGCTACTTCAACAGAAACTAGCTCATCTGTAGAGACTGATTTGCAGCCCTTCCGTGAAGCCATAGCTCTGCATGGTAACAGTTTTTTTTCCAGTACTACTTGGTTAAAGTTGGGTGGAGGTTCTTAAAGCATGTCTTCCTCTTAAGCTGTGGCTCTTGGCAGTTGTTGATGTCCTAATGCCATGTACCCATTGCTTCAGCTGAAGGTATCTACTTGCTTCTCTAAAGGAATCAATGTGTTTTGGCATGCGTAAGGCTTGTTAGCTACTAAAATGCTGCTTTAGTCAAATCTTGAATACAAGTAAAAGTACTGCATGGGCAGGTAGTGAAATTAGTTTTGGATGTGTAAATCTAAAGCTTTGATTCAACATACTGAACACAGTTTGTGCTTCAATTTGTTACCAAAGCTAGGTGCGTCAGTGCAAATTTTTAGAAATTGATAATATGCCAGGAACTAGTTAAATACTAAGATGCAGCTAGTAGCCAGTGGCTAGCAAATTTGGCCAAGTGTGGGGGAGGATTTAATGTCTAAAAGATCTCTTCTGTATCTGGGGAGCCAGATCTCGCTCAAAATGTTATTAGGTGCTAGTTGATATGGTTGAACATTCTGCCCCCTAACTAGGACTGTTCAGAGGGGTATTGTATGCTTATCTCAAGAAATCCAATTCAGAACTCAGACTAATTGCAAATTAGAAATGAAATATCTCAAGTCTTGTCAAACTGAACCTTCTTCCTTGTAGTCACTAGCAATGTGCACTGTGTATTTACTGTTCCTCATAGCGAAGCATTCAGTAACCAATTCTGAACTGTAGTGTTACCTGGAAACCAAAAATGTGTTTAAAGTAGTTAATCACTGGTTATTATGCTTTCTAAAAACCAAAGGGGGAGCACAAACAAGTACATCTCTTAGAATGTCTCCTATTTATATCCTAAAAGTATATTGAAAATTAAATTACCTAGAAATACAATCTGTGAAACTTGAAAAATTTTCACCACTTTGGTATCCTCAGTGTGGCAGGGGATTAGTGGGTTAATAATTGGATCAATAGATCCTTGAAAAGGATCTTGGAAATGCAGTCTTCCTTCTGCTCTGTAATGGCAATTCTTCAAGATACATAAACCAGACACTGTTACTGTCTAGGTGACAGCTTGATTCTGGTATTGTTTGTGGCTCTGACATTTGAAACAAGTGTGCTCCCACCCAGTGCTCCAGTCTTCTCTAGGCAGTTTTCTCTATTTTGGAAGCTGGTCAGAATTCTGTGTACCAGGAGTGCTTATCCATGGGTCAGGCTAATTTCATAAAGCAATAACCAGCCTTTTAAAAAACCTGCTTTCTGAAACTGTAGTTGAATCCTATATGCAGGTCACTTCAGCCAAGTTTATCAAATGAGAATAAATAAGGTAGTTCTCATTTCTGCCTGAGTTTTCTCAAAACAGAGTAAATTCATAGGTGTCCTATTTGATAATGTAGCACTCCTCATGTCTTTATTTCTTAACACCTCTTTCACACCGAGGTGGCTTCCTGGAAGTAATTGCTTTTTAGTGTGGTCATGTATGACCTGTTAGGTTTTTTAGGTTTTTTTTGTTTTGTTTTGTTTTGATAATCTAATACAGGTTTGTGAACCACATGCACTTCTCTGTGCTGTAGTGGCACTGCAGAGAGTAGAAATATGCAGTTCTACTTCATCAGCTGGTAGACAAGATTACATGTCAATCACCTTCTGGATTAGTTTGTCCTGATATCAGTTTCAGTCTGTTCTTTGACACAGATGCTTTTGTACTAATCCTTTAGTGACAAGGCCTGTGTTTATACTCATACCTGTTTTTAGTTTATTGCACAGCATAGCTGTGTTCCTCCAGCTTTCTCTGCCCCTTTTTCCTTTTGCATCAGGAAAAGCTGTGAAGTTTGGTGTGAACACCAAACATCATTGCAGTTAGCATAGCTATAGATGCATCTTCATCTGCTTTTTGAATACACAGTGACTCTTAAGTTCTGAGAAGAGCTTCAGATATGAGTTGCATCCAACTTAAGCTGCCTGTCTTAAAATTTCTGAAAGCTGATTTATGCCAGGTGTTTTCCTTCTGTGCTGCTGGAGCTAGCACATTTGAGTCCTGAAGTGTGGATGGCAGGTCCATCATTAGCCTTTGAAATTTGGGCTTGGGCTTCTAGGGTGGAACATGCTCATACTATGAAACGCGCACTGTGCTTTACAAACCCACCTCCCAAGGTAATGAGAAAAGCACTGTGATTTGGCAATGAGGAAGCTATCGTAGGGGAGAGCAACATTATGAAATACAAATTATATTCAAGCTTTCTTGCAGCAGCAGGGCAGTGAGAACATTGCTACTTTTGCTCCTTAGCTTTAATGTTGAGGTGTTCCACTAATATGATTCTGGGGGAGACCTTTGCTTTAGCACACAGGAGTGTGTGGCCCCTCAAGACACTACCCCTTCTATTGTGCTGTCTTGAAATATTGAACGGCAGTGCAAAACAGGTGTTAGCAAAGAGGAGGAAACTGATAAAGGATGAGAGAATAGAGTTCAGGTACAGTCTGAAGGGGTGTAATATGGTATAAAAGCTGTGTACAAAGCTATCGTGGAGGTTAATATCTGCAGCTAAAACTTGCTGAGCAAAAACTGAAGCAGAGTGTAGCCTAGAGGGAGATGTGTGCTACTTTATCTGGGCTTTGGTCGCATTTATGTAAACTTAAATGCTAATTTTGATACTTTCTGAACAAAACTTTTGGAAAATAATTCTGAGCAGCAGCTATTTTGTATATAGTCTTTAGTAACCTGAGTAACTCATCACTGTAGATGTGATTATAGTGGAGATAAAACAGCTTGTGTAGACCACTGATGATAAACTGTCACCTTAAAATAAGCAAATGTATTTACCTTAAGCACTCTGCGTGCCTCAAAACATTCACTTCTGACAAAAACATTCTAAACTGGATAGTTTTTGAAGAGTTCTTAATTATAAATTAGCTAGTATTGATCACAACTTCTCATACTACAGTTCTTTAGACTTTAGAGGTGGTCTTGGTGGGTTAGACATTAAAGTATCTAATGATCAGAATCTCTGTTCTGCTGCGTAGACAACAGTGATGTGCATGTGATCAAGTTAATCACAGAGTAGAGATTTGTGGTGACGGAACGGTGTTACTAGTTGTCATGTGAGTATTTCTAGTGTCTGTTGCTGCTCACTGTATTGTTTTAGCTGTTTAAATGTTTTGGAGAGAGGCACAACCAGAGCACAAATAGCTTAACTCTGAATAATTCACAATAAATGGATTTTCTAAAATTTCCTTTGACAACAGCAGCATTTCAAGAAGAAATGAGCTATGAATCATTGTTCCTGGAACATGTTCCGTTAGCAAGTAGATTCCTTTGTATTGTATTACTAATAGTCATCAAGGACCTTGCTTCATGAAATAGCAATTTGATATTTCAGTACCTTGAACTTGGTTTCTGTCTCTTCTGTACTTAATTACTTAATTCCAAACTGTAGTGTAAATGTCTGAGATAACATTCTGCTCTTTTGGATTAGTCTCTACTGCTGTGTAATATGGATAACTGAAAATTGTTGCTGGAGTCTGTTTTACTCAGTAATGACTGTTAAATTGAACTAGTGGGTATAAAATACAAAATGAAACAAAAGCTGGAAATATTTCTTGGGTTCCAATATCCTTGTGCTCCTGTCTGTAGGAATTAAACTTTCTTCTGCTTTAAAAATCTCTAATGTCTCAAAACTTACCTCCTGAATCTTGTATGCGTGTTTAATAATAGTGAGTCAGTGTCACTGAATATTAAGTAAATGCCTATTTGAGGCACTGTTGCGAAGCCTGGCAGTGGTCTGGAGCATATTACAAATGCATTTTTTTAAGTTAACTTTTGTATCTAATGCACTTACAAATGCTTGTCACTTGGAATGGTTCTCCACAAGCACAGTTCTTGAAAGTGTTGACTAAAAATCTGTTCACTTTTACAATAACCAAATAGGGAAGCTCATTTTTTAAATTTTTCATTTAAATTTGCTCTGTATACATAATTAAAAGATGTCATGTAAAAATCAGCACACTATGCTGTGGCTACTATGGGTTGTAAATAATAGAACAGTAATTGACAGAAGTGATGTAACTTGCTGTTGATTTTAATTGGTAGTAACTGAACCTGTGTGTTCAGAGCAGTCTCCTTTTGAACGATGTGGTGCTCATGCTGGCAGGGGAGGAGGGGAGGCATTTGCAGAGTATCAGTTTGGGTTTGAAATTCTTGTCAGGGATCTCTAGCTTCCATGTACAATCAGATTTGGGGTTAGTTCATCCTGTATATTAGAAAATCTTTCTAATGTGTCATGCCAGTTAACAGTAAACTTGCTGCTGTTTGAATTGTGTGGAGTTTTATTTCCTGTCCAAAATTCAGCCACTGGCTATCCAAGTCACAGCATCTGAATTGGCCTTTTCTGCCTTACAGTTATATAATCTAATTAGTTGCTTTACCTGGTAGATTTTAGGAAACACTCTTCACCATGGCTTTGATTTTAAGCTTAATATTAGGGAATATTAGAAGATGCCTAGCTTTGCAATTGATTTCACTAAATCAGCTTCTATGTAACATCTGTCATTCACCGTGGCAGTAAGAATTTAATGAGAGAATGCGTGTGGTCTACATCAGTCTCTTAACCATTGCTCAGAGCCACGTGGGAACCCTTGATGCACCCCTAAAGCTTCTGCTTAAAGCACTCTCAAATACTACTCATGTTTCTGCAGCTTATTGTGTAGCACCTCATCTATGTAAAAGTATATGCTGTGCTTTTACAAGAGCTAAGCTTTAAATGTTCATCCAACTTCAATTTGCAGCAGAGTGAAGTTGGTTGACCTGTGCTATCATGATGTACATCAGCTTGCCATACCTGCCAATGGCTCCTGAGTCCCCTTATCTCCTTGAGGCTTCTGGCAACTGATCTAGTGCCTCTAACATCTCTTCTGCATTCTTTAGTATTACTCATGTGTCATCTGGATTTTTGGCAGATGTTCTGACCTTGCATTGCAGGTAGAGAGCTGTTTGAGGTTGTGCTCTTTTAGCTCTTCAAAGTGTGTGGCTTTTTGCCCTGTGTTTGGGAGCAGGGGTATTCCAGGAGTAAGCTTGAAACAGTAGAGACTTGCTGAGCTTAAGTGCATGCTGACTCTGCAGGAATGTTTAGTGTATGCTCATTCTGTTGCCCTACAGAATATCTATTCTGAGGCACTTAACCATTCAGTACTTTGTATGCTGTGCATCTGTTAGCCTCATTTCTTTAAGAAATGTGTTTATATGTAGCTGTTCTGTTAGTTGGTCTTCCAGATAACTGAATCTCTCAACTCTCTCCAAAATAGAGCTTGAGTCTGAAAGAGAGAGTTCCTACAACTGGGCTTCATGGAGCCTCTGAAGCCACTTGTGTGGCCTGTCAGGAGCTACTAGGTAGGGTTTTGTTGGTCTTTTTTTGTCAACTTCTGGCTGCTTAGTTAGTAACTTCGTAGGTATTTTAGGTGGTTGGGCGCATGCAAGATTGACACAAGATGGATAATGGAAAAGAGTAGCTGAAACTTGTTGCTAGTTTGCTCATCAAAAACTGAGCTTAACACTTTAAAAGATTGCAGAATAGTTGGTTGGAGTGGACCTCTAGAGATCATCAAGTCTACTAACATAAATCTTGTTCTGCTTCCTCTCCCAACACTTCCTGCATGACTCCTTCATGGGTAGCATTTCTTGGGCTGAGGGTGTCTAGAAAGTCTCTAATATTTCTATTTGAAGCAGTTCGGATAGTCAAGATGTTTGAACTCTGGCTTATTGATGTAGTCTGAACCTGAGATTAAGAATTTTTAGGCTGGCATGTTCTGTATCTTGTACTATAATTTGGAAAGTTCTGCTTTACTGAATGTTAACCTTGCTGAAGACAAGGTTAATTTGGTACAAAGCTTGTTGAATGGATCTGTAGGAAATTCCTGTTGCGATCAAAGGAGTTGTTAATAAGCTGTGCACAAATGAAAGTGATAGATTGTTTTGGGTAAGGTGTGCTGTTACACATTTCAAGGGATTGTATGGTCTTGCTGGGTGACTTCATGACTCTTGAAGTGCTCATCTCAATAGTATTGATGTGTTGGCTGAGAGCGACAGCCCTGAAATGAAGCTTTTGCTTAAATTATTTAAATGCTAGTTGCTCCAGAAAATCTGTGTCAGATCTGTCATACAGCAGCTTTCCTTAGGACAAAGGCGACTTGGAAGGACTGGAGGGAGCAGGGTGGTGGCTTATTGGGACAAGACCAAGTTAAATGGGTATTGAAAGCCCTTGGCAGGGCCCTGCAGATGCTTAGGTAGCAAACTGTAGGTGTTAGGCTGCTCCATTAGCTCCCTTCAGCCATCATAAAAAGCAGTTGTAGCAACCTAAGCAATAAAAGCTAAGAAGGTGTGAATATCTGGAGTTCAAATAAGTAGGTGTGTGCATAAATATTAGGGGGATATTAAACACTTCATTCTAAAATCCCTGCTGGAGAAGTATCATTCCTTTTGTTGCATGCAGAGCGAAGCAGCTCTTTACTGCGTGACCTAAATGCTCTTTCTTTTTCCCCCTAGGTCTTAGTGGTGCAATGGCTAGTATAAGTGTTCGCTCGAGTACACCAGGCTCTCCTACTCACGTGAGCAGTGGCTCCAATGCTAGTCGAAGGAGAAATGGACTCCATGACGTTGACTTGAACACTTTCATATCAGAAGAAATGGCACTCCACTTGGACAATGGTGGAACTAGAAAGCGTACCTCAGCCCAGTGTGGCGACGTCATTACAGACTCACCAACTCATAAACGCAACAGAATGATCTAAACTGCAAAAATTTCAAACCCACCATGCTGCTTGAAAGCCACTTGATCCTCAGAGTACTATTGAAAAGGAAACGTGAGGCCATCTTCCCATATTCACTGTTTAAGACAAATGAATTCAATAATTGCCATAAAGGAAATTTTAGATATTACATTAGATGCCTCTTGTAACTGCGGCTTTCTTAAACTATATTCTTAGCAGAGGACATCAGATATTGTGTAGTAGTTAGCAAGATCATCATAGGCAAACATGTATCCGTTCCAAGGCTAAAAGTGACCTTACTTGTATTCTTAAAGGGAAAGGAAATTTCAGATGTTTATTTGGTTATAGAATGCTTTTTTTTTTTGTCCTTTATTTCCTGCTGTGTTGAGTATTTGCTTAAACAGTATTGCCAGTTTGACTGAAATTGTCTACAACTTGACTTGGCATCTTTGTCAAAACTGCAGGCTTCCATTTTTGCAGCACTGTACCATGCACCTAGTTTCTATATAGTAACAGTGTGCAAGTTATAAATATTGGACTGTACCCTTTTTAGTTTTAAAAGCAGTTGATAATTCTGGTGATTGTGTGATAATGTAAAGAGGTGCTACGATGGTCATGCAATTAATACTTAATATTGACTCAATACAAGGATCTTTATTGGGTTTACTTTGTGTGTTTTAGTGCTCTGAAGTAGCAATATTAAACTTTTCCCCAATTAACTTGATAGGCTTTTAAATCTTCAGTTTGAGAAAGTGTATGTACTTCTTGGTATTATCCTTGTGGTAACCATACACAGTGCAGACTGCACCAGTGCTGACCTAAATTTAGAGAAAGATGTCCTGTAATTGGAAAATAGGCTTTTCTGTTCAGTATTAGTGAAGGGTAGGTTTTGTGTACGCCCGTATCCCATTTTACATTTCTTGTGAAGTAATTGCCCATTACTGGGGAGGGGTGGGAAAAGAGGGAACGAGGGGGAATAGTTGGAAGAAAGGGGTGTTCTAACAAGTAAGACTTCTGGTCACATATGGAGACTTGGACTAACTTAAACGAGATTGTGTGATGTCATCTCCTGCAGGAGGGAGTGACATGCAGCTTCTCTCAAGTGCTAAGAAAATAATCTTAAACTGGAAGTTGATTATAAAGCTCTGGTTATATCTAAACATGCCGTAAGGATGGGTTTAAAAGGACAAATGGCTTTCTTTTTTGTGTGTTGAGCTTACATTCATAGGATCAAACTCTGGCTGCCATAAACCTAAGCATAATCTAAAAGTGAACTATAGATCTGCTGCAAATCAGTTCTGGAATGGGGAAGGATATGTGTCAATATTGGAAGAACGTTGTCTAACTGGGAGCTTTTCTACACTTATGTGCAACAAGTTTTCCTCTTTGGAGAGCTCTGGCTTAGGTCCTGTCTATCTCTGCCCAGACGAGGAGTAATGCAGGAGGGAAGAGAGAAGGAAGAGCTCCAAACCTCAGCGCGAGGACAAGGTATTTATTGAGGCCCTATGCATGCTGTAACAGAAAGGATAAGCAGATTTGGGGTGAAATGCAGCTGGGCTGAATCCACAGTACATTTAAAAAAAAAAAATCCGGTCTTCTAAGTTAAGGCACTTTGAACTACTTTTTAATATTCAGCTCTTCAAGACTTCTGCTCATGCTTGTAGAGTCAGACTTTCATATTAATTTCCCAGCTGCTTAAGGCAGTTTCAGCTGTAGTTTTCTTCCACGCAACCCCGTTGTCCTTCATTGGTGGTCTCTAGTCGAGGCGAGACGCCAGTGAGACGTTGTGCTTAAGTGCTCGGAATGCAGTGGCTCCAGGAGCGCCATTCCCCCGCTTTGTGCCGCGTCCAGCCGATCTCGTTAAGCCGAGGAGCTCACCAGTTACACGGTGCTGTAGCG